TAGCATGTAGTGTGATATTGAAAGGGCCATCTTTTTGCCTGTCTCCAAATTTTGGCTAACTTTTTATTTATTCCCTTTCCTTTTGTTTACATAATTTTTTGCATTCCCTTTTTTTAGGTAGACTTTATTTTTTAGAATAGTTTTCGGTTCGCAGCAAAAATGAGTAGAAAGCGTAGAGAGTTCCTGTAAGCCCCTCACCCTGGGATGTGCAGAGTCTCCCCCACTATGGATTTACTCCACCAAAGTGGTCCTTTGGTTGCAATCGATGACTCTACATGGATGGACACGTCATCACCTAAAATCCAGAGTTTAGATTAGGGTTTGCTCTTGGCATTGTCCGTTTGATGGGCTTTGACAAACATATGATGACATGTATCCACCATTATGGTATCAAACAGAAGAATTTCACTGCCCTGGAAAACCACTGTCTTCTGCCTGTTTATTCTTCTCTCTGCCTAACCCCTGGCAACCACTGATCTTTTTACTGTCTCCTTAGTTTTGCCTTCTCCAGAATGCCATTATAGTTGGAATCATACAGTATGCAGCCCTTTCAGATTGTATTCTTTCACTTAGTCATATGCATTTAAGGTTACTTTATATCTTTTCATGGCTTGATGGCTCATTTCTTTTTGGTGTCGAATAATATTCCACTGTCTGATGGAGTACAGTTTATTAATCCAACACCCACTGGAGGACATCTTGGTTGCTTCCAAGTTCTGGCAGTTATAACTAAAGCTGCAATAAGTTTTCAACTTTTTGAGTACATACCAAGGAGTGCAATATGATACGAGTATGTTTAGTTTTGTAAGAAACTGACAAACTGTCTCCCAAAGTAGCTGTAATATTTTGATTCCCAGCAGCAGTGAGAGTTCCTACTGCTCCACACCCTCATTTCCATTTGCTGTTGTCAGTTATTTTTAGTCCCTTATAGTTTCTTTATGGCTGCAGGAAACGTGTGTCCAGGTGCAAGCCCTGCAGCAAAGGGTCCCAGGTCCCAGGTCCCAGCCTGTCTCAGACATATAGAATAAAAAGAGGGTTGACTGTAGATTAAAACATTCTTGTATCATTTGTAATTTTGTAATTTTTCACACAGACAGTTTATTTTGTCAAGGTCTCTGATACTATCTAGGGCTTTCATCAGCTTTCAGCTGATTAAAATGCTTTGAACTTAATAAATGATAAATGACATGAATATATTCTGGGATGTTGTGGAAACATTGATTAGACTTCAAGAAGAATTTAGAAAAATGGACTTCACATGGAAAAACACTATTGCAATTGCTATAAAAATTTTAAAAGAAAAATAATTTGGCGATACAGTTTTAGATGAGTTAACCATTCCATTTTGGAAATAGGTGGGAAGTAAACAGTGCCTCCAAAAGAATGTGTGCCTGTGTGGAGATTTTGAGGGGAGCTCGACATAATGCAGGCTTAATTCCTGAAGTTCCACCCCAAACATTGTAAGATGGCTTCTTTTTTAATTATGCAAAATATGCTGAAGTTAAAGGTTAGCGTTGCTTTAATTCCTGTTAGATATCTTTCTGATATTAAAAAAAAATAGTGATATAATGTCTTTAGAAATTAATTACTAAGAAGCAAAATGTAGTTGCTTGGGTCTAGATAAAGAATACCAATGAGATCTTAATATTTCTATCTCTATACATATTTCTCACCCTCTTTAAAGTAATAAAACCTAATATTAGGCTAAAACAAAGCATCCAGATTTTAGAAGCCACACTGGTAAAGTTGCTTGGGAGTTGTGCCCAAATAATACTGAAAGAGTCTTGTCAGTATATGGCAGTGTCTCAACTGTTATTTATTTTTTTATCCAGCCCCCTATTTCTGGAGAGGATTTACAGTACATAATAATAACAAAAATACAACGAAGTAATTGAAACAGTACTAAATGTGCAGGAGCCATACAATGATAGTCATTCCAGGATGTGAGCTATACATTAATTCAATTAGCCATAGGGTTTAGCTTTCAGTTCCCTAGCTGCCAGACAGAAAGGAAACACGACAATAAGCTTACCTTGTACTTCCCAGTAATAGGAAGCATTTACGAGCATCAAGAGACCATTTTCATAGTATAAACTTTCAAAAATAGTCATATTTTTGTAAGGCACTTAGGCCAAATATGCCTAGCACGTAGTAAATACCTATACAAAGATATTATAGTTATATTTGGATAAGCAAATGAAAAATTAAAGAAAAATTCATCTTCAGTATTTTCATGTCATGGTTATTGACCAAAATAAAGGACCATTGCTTTAGTAATAAGCTTATAAAAGATACATCGGCAACTTCATCTGACCCTTAGGACACAGTATTTTATCATAATACCGTGAATGCTTATTTCAGATACCACAGCTTAAAGATGTAGTATTTGATGATTTACCTGGATAAGAAACAGTAGTTATGGGCTTCCCTAGTGGCGCAGTGGTTGAGAGTCCGCCTGCCGATGCGGGGGACACGGGTTCGTGCACCGGTCCGGGAGGATCCCACGTGCCGCGGATTGGCTGGGCCCGTGAGCCATGGCCGCTGAGCCTGCGCGTCCGGAGCCTGTGCTCCGCAACGGGAGAGGCCACAGCGGTGAGAGGCCCGCGTACCGCTAAAAGAAACAAAAAAAAACCAAAAAAAACAAACAAACAAAAAAAAGAGGTGGTTAATTTCTTTATAAGAGGGTAATAGAATAGCTTTTACTGTATATAATTTTAGAATACCAGTCATTTTGGCTGATCATTACAGGAAAGCTTTTTAGCAAATAATTTGGAACTGGATACTGTTAAGTGCTCAAAGTAATGGCAAGTGTATATCAACCATGTGCTTTAGCGAAGCTAGCAAAATAGGAATTTTATTTGAAAATGAGCAGATCTATGGTGTAGTTCTTCTTAAGTTGGGGGCCATGCATGTTTTTCTGGGTTGAGAGAAACTTTGGTCAGGAAGCAGCATTGTGGCCACTGGAAGGCGCACCAGTTGATAGGCCTATGTCCTGGACATGTTTTGAGCTAATTTCTTTAGCTGTCACAATCAGATATGAGGTAACCACTTAAGTCCCATTATGAGTTGTAAGATATGTGTATATTTGACAAAAAGTTAATGGAGCTGTGTAGTGCAGGTCTTCATCTTCCAGGGTCCTAGGCCTCCTTCACATCCTCTTTGATTCCATGTTCGTTTGATTAGGAAAATGTTACTTTTGTTTTCCCGGCCAGTGGTACAGATATGTTCAGTGCCAGCTTACATAATTTCTTAATTTATTTGACTTTCGCACTTCAAGACCGTCTGCGTACGATTTTTAACAATCAATTTATATTATGTGTTGAAGTTCATTTATTTATTAAACATGTATTTAATTGAAGTATACTTGATTTACAATGTTGTGTTATATGTGTTGAAGTTTTTATAAACATCAAGTTTAGCTGTTAGATGTAGGTACGTTAAATCATACTTCACTGTCTGTAGTTCAGTAAATATTTATTATCAATATGTGCCTTACCGTCCTCTGATTACTATTATAGAATCTGAACATCATAGGAGAGAGAAAGTGAATTCCTCAAATTTTCCTAGAGTCACTGCGCATTGCTTATGCTTTATTTTATATTTTATACATAAATAAAATGTGCGTATTTGTGCTTCATATAAATATGTTAGGTCTTATTATTTAAAGAAAGATAATCTATCATCTCTTCCTATTTAAATATTTGGATTTTGATTTGAAGTTTATGATCTGATTCATTTTGATCATGTCAAAAGGCCATGGATAGATAGTATTTTGTGAATTTTGAATGGTTGAAAATAAGGATGCTGAAACCCAATGTCATTTATGCCTTGAGCACTTTGGTGCATATTCTGAGTTCAGTATATAAAATTAAAATAAAAAACCCTGAGCATAATGCCACAATGCTGCGTTTGACTGTATATACCCCAGTAACGCAATGTGTGCCAGAATCTCATTTCACTGGCAAATATAAAATGTATTAAGGTATTAGACAACGTTTCGAGGTTCATATATTCTTAGAATATACATGTCTTGATATAATCCAACTTTTACAAAGTTTTACAATTAAAACTTTGGAGATAGGCAAAAAACTGAAGCAAAATAATCAGCTGTTTAGTGGATTTCAAAACCTTTTCCTACTGTAGTTGAACATAACATTTACAAATTTTTCACGTACTCTCATCTGTTTGGCAAAATCCAAATGTTATTTGACTACCTCTGTATAATCATTTACATGTATGAGTAGGCAAGGATAATTTTTCCTTTTCTTCCTCAAGTATATATATAAAGTGTGCGTTTTAAACATATATGTAGTTTTATTTTATTTTTATTGATGTACAGTTGATTTACAATGTTGTGTTAGTTTCTGCTGTACAGCAAAGTGATTTAGTTATACTTATATACACACTCTTTTAAAAATTCTTTTCCATGGTGGTTTATCCCAGGATACTGAATGTAGTTCCCTGTGCTCTGCGGTAGGACCTTGTTGTTTATCCATCCTATGGATAAACAGCTTCCATCTGCACACCCCAAACTCCCAATCCTTCCCTCCCGAACTCCCTTGTAGCTTTATATACATATAAATTATTTTTGTAGTTTGCTACTTAGTAAAATACAAGTGAAATATTTTCTCTTGGCTTCTTATCTATTTTTAATGAAGAGGTATCCTACTTTGGGGGGAAGAATAATGGCAGTATTTAGCAGTTCCTGTGCTTTTTTGACAATACCAACTAACCCCCTGGTATAATTGGTGTTTGTATTACAGTAAAGCAATATTGGTAAAGTTCTATGACGACGTTTGAACTCGCAAGCGCTAAGAGGATGTCTGTAGAGAGTCTTACAAAGACACGAGGGGCTTTTTATATACCAAGCTATTGTGATCCTTGTTAATGTTGGAAGAGCAAACGTATTTGTGCTGCTAATGATTGAACCCTTTTTATTCTGGTGCTGAACGCATTCTTAAAAATGGCAGTAAACACACACGCACACGTAATTTTCCCAGGATTATAGAGTCAACATCTTCCTGAGACAGAAGTGGAACGACCCCAGACTGAAGCTGCCTAGTGATTTCCGGGGCTCGGATGCCCTGACGGTGGACCCCACGATGTACAAGTGTCTGTGGAAACCTGATTTATTTTTTGCAAATGAAAAAAGTGCCAATTTTCATGATGTAACCCAGGAAAATATCCTCCTCTTTATTTTTCGGGATGGAGATGTCCTCGTCAGCATGAGGTACTCTTTTCTCTCTAATATTTGTAGATTCATATTTTCCTTTAAAAATCAGTATATCACAGAGACATGTGTTAAACAACTTCTAAGACGTCTGCTTCTGCTTTCAGGCTATCTATTACTCTTTCGTGCCCTTTGGACTTGACCTTGTTTCCCATGGATACACAACGTTGCAAGATGCAACTTGAGAGCTGTATGTAAATGAGACCCTAAGTCACCATAGGGATAAAAATGCTTAAAATTTCTAGGCAATACATGCTACTAATATCTTAGATAATAACGGTGAAACTAATGCCTTTGATTCCAAATAGACGTTAGAATAAGTTATTTAGGGAAATTATAGTTTTCCTTTTACTACATTAATTTGTATACTAAGATAGATGAATTCTTTTGTTACCAGTTGATTTCAGTTGAGTTGTTGTAGGTGTAGGTGTGTACCCTCCTACCTTATTCCAATCGCCACCTTCATTTGAGTTAGTAATATAGGCAAGGTAAAGGAGAAAATGATGTCCTAATAACTTTTCTAATGTTAAAACCACATTTTTCAGAGCAGAAAAATTGGAAAACACTGAAAAATATTATCTAAATCCTACCAAGCATTAATTTTCTATGGATCTATAAAAAAGTTATTTTTTACAAAATTGGATTTTAGATTTTCTATGTTTCTAGAATCATATATTTTTCAGTTTCTAAAAGAGGTACCAGGTGTAGTCATTGAAATGATTATCTCTAAAATATATTTATTAATTAATCTACTATGAAGCTTGAAAAGCATGTGAAAATCAAAGTAGGAAATAAAACTTGAAAAATTAACACTAATGGAAGGAATCTTCAGCCTGAATACCCATACACTGTGACCTATTCCTACAAAGAATCACCTTATAAAATGTATGTGCTTGCTTGATGACATGCTCTAAAGTTACTTAGTGGTTACTTGTTGTTGTTGTTTAATTTACTGAAGCTGGATCCTAAATTTGAACACTATTTTTTGCTTTCTAACTATAATGTGAGATTTTGCAGATGTAACTGCATGTATGTACACGTCTGTGTGTGTATTGTATATACGTGTGCCTGTGTGTCAATATGCATTTTTTATAAATAATTCCAAATGTGTATATACCTTCAATTCTGTTACTAGATACACTAAAGTATGGCTTTAAAAAACATAGGCATGTAAGAGTTGAACGGTAGGCTACAACATGCTGTAAACCCATGGGGCCCTTGAATTGTAGCCAGGTTACCTAAGCCCACAATGTGGGTTCCAGGAGGCTCTAGTGATGCAGTGATGTCCATTTGAGGGGCTGTGTTATTGCTCTCCTCTGGCCATGCAACTCCTCTAGGGAAGTTGGTAGTGAATTCTTCAAAAAAATCCATTTTGGTGCTTAAGTTTCTTTAAAAATCTCCAGGTAGCATATTGCATGATTGTAAATGTATACATTCAGAAAGCTAGTATCACTTATTTGCTACTTTTTCATTGATGACGGTTCAGAATTCTGACATAGACAGATGTACTACTGTTCATGACCCCCGAGGATTTTTACCATCTGCGATATGCTGATTATTTTAGCTTGTTCTTTCTTTAAGCCAATTATCTGTAACTTTTGTGCTAATATTTTTATTAGTGGCCATAGATTTTACCTCTTTACATTTCTAACAAAAGTTCCATAAAAGGGCCTATTGTTTTACCATTTCTGTGTTTAATATCTGGATGTTAAAATGTTAAAGAAGTGTTAATAATTATATTTCAAACTAATATTTTATTTACTTTTGTTTATAGTTGGTTACACAACTGATGACTTACGATTTATCTGGCAGTCAGGGGATCCTGTTCAATTAGAAAAAATTGCCTTGCCTCAATTTGATATTAAAAAGGAAGATATTGAATATGGTAACTGTACAAAATACTATAAAGGCACTGGTAAGTAATATTCTTTAAATTAAACAAAACTAAGTCTTATTTCAAAGATTTGTTTCAATATTAAAACATGCTAGGGACAGAACAGAGAAAACTAGTTAAAAAATAAATTCAGTATTTATAAACATTATATCTGTATGTTGATATATTTAAATCTTTCATAAAATTACATACACTAAAGTTAAAATTTATTTTATCACTAGATAGTTTTGCTTTTCTTTATGTAATTCCGGATAACAAGAGGTTTTCAACGTTTTATTTTATATGAACTCTCCAGGCAGTGGTTTTCTTAGATGTTGCCTAGAAATTCTGCTCTGACAAGATTCATATTAGGGCCAAACGTTATGGATATAAGTAATGTAACCCATATATATTCGTCTGCTGTCTTTGGGGCAGTTTTTCAATGTTGGTTGACCCATTTTCTTAATTTTCAAAAAATTTAATCTTTATGCTGTGCAGGAAACAGTAAACACATGAAATAATTGGACATGAGTAAAAATTTGCCATATAATATTCTTGATCTAGGTTATGGAACAGCCAATTATGAAAGCTCAACAAATTAACCTCATGCATTAAATCACATCAAGCTTTACAGAAATGAAAATGCAGTATTCACTGATCAATACTTTCATAATATGATTAGTATTCAACCTTTGAGTCTCCTCTGGAGGTTATAGGTTATTGAAGGCTCTAGATATTAAATATAGTGCTATTCTCCTCAGCAATATAAATAAAAAGGTGATTGACTTTTGACCAATACATTCACACTAATAATCAGTCTAATTTATAAATTACCACAAAATTCTAATTCTGTATCAGGAAGTAAATCATGACAAAGATGTTCAGGAATAGATGTAATTAAAGTTTAAGTTTATTGCAACATTTATGTTGACTTTGCAAAAATAAAAATGTGTAGTGTAATTGTGGAAAATGTACTGAGGTGAGATGTTTGAGCTAAAATGCTGCATCGTGACATCATCAAGGACAAAATATGACTTAAAACATACCTGTTGATTAGAATAAAAGATAGAGTGAATAGTTGCATATCTACGTTGTTGTAATAATAAATACAACACGGGCCAACTTAGAGATAACGTTAGTTTAAGCATCTGTTGTCATTGACCTTCAACTAAATTAACAGATTATATAACATTTATATATAAATAGTCCCTTCTCTTGTAGAGCTTATAGTCTTTTAGGACATGAGACAAAGTAAGGAAATACACTGCTGAAAGAATTATCAAAAATTTTAATGGAAAAACAGAGCTCTTAAAAATTTGACCATCAAAGTACGTAGTGAAGAAATCGTAGATACCTTGATTGTCAGATGTGGAAGTGATCTTTCGGCTAATGCTGAGTCAGCTCTTTTGTTGAACACATAAAGTAACTGAGATGCAGGGTCAACGACTTCCTGAATGTCAAGGGCAAATCAGTGTCAGCTGTAACCTGGGCACTGTCATTCTCCTCTCTACGACTCATGCAAATTGAGACTGACTACAGTTTTCAGGGATTTCTCACCTAGTAATGGAAAAAATAAACTTGAAAGCCAAGGGAAGTTTTTTGGAGGATTGATGTAGAGAAACATTTAATAGATGGCTTTTTGAGTTCTTGTTATCTGTCAGGCATTGCTTTAAGCACTTTGCAGGAATCCTATGAGTTCAGTGAGTGCTATTATATTTGGAAAATAGTTACCCACATCCAGATTATATGATTAACATTTCAAAATGAATAGTCTCTAAATTGTTTGAGAAACTTGAAATAGAGTTTACTGAAATTTTTTAAACTTCATCTAGAGATGAAAAATAAAACCAGTAATTTTATTTCTAATTTTATGTAGTATAAAATCATGTAATAGTATTGAAAATCATGGGGTTATTCATTTTTTCACCTTTAAGCCCTGAACTTAAAATGTCTCGGGACTTCCCTGGAGGTCCAGTGGTTAAGATTTCACCTTCCAGTGCAGGGGGTGCGGGTTCGATCCCTGGTCGTGGAGCTAAGATCCCACCATGCCTCGTGGCCAAAAGGACAAAACATAAAACAGAAGCAATATTGTAACAAATTCAATAAAGACTTTAAAAATGGTCCACATCAAAGCAATCTTAACAAAAAAGAAGCCTCTGCTTGGGGACTCAGCAGTGAATAAAGGACAGATCCCTGCTGTTTTACAGATCCATATTCTTACATGGCAAGCAAGTAAAGTAAATATAATTCTTTTAGTCCTAAGAAGGAAATAAGAGGGTGTGCTGTGGTAGAGTATTTGGGGATATACTCAAGATTTACGATAAGTAAATCTTTCATTGATTTTTTTGTGTGTGTGGTATTTTTTGAGTTATCGTAAATAAGTCGCTTATATCTCATTAGATACAGAAAATAACAAAAAACTCATGGCTAACATAATAAGAATTGGCACTATACTTCAGTAAACATGCTTGTTCAGTATTTATATGGATCAGTATATGGATATAAGAAAAACATTTTAATGTTTGGATAATACTTAGAAATGTATGTAGGAAAATAGACCATCCAAAATATATGGAATGCTTAACAGTGTAGAATACTGGAAAAGATACAGAAAGCAACATATAAAATGATGGCCAATATTTTCTTTAATTTGTACAAAATTATCCGAAATGATGATTTGGGTTTAACTTTATTAAAAATTAGGGTTTTATTTATAATAGTAGAAATTACACAGGTGGAGAAATATATGGGTACACAAGTATAGAAAAACCTTTAAATTGGAAGCCTGAGTGAATAATAATCAAATAAAAGCTCACAGGAAATAGAAAGTAAATTGAATTTGCCAGTGAGCATTTATACCCATTAGCTGCCCACCTGCCCCTCATAAATGTAACAGTACCAGGAAATCAAAAAAGATCAAGAAATGTTTCTCATAAAAGTTTATGGAGCAAATCACTATGATATCCAGGCGTATATTTTACCGCTAAATTCATCCACGTCTTGGGAAGCTTCCCGGGGGGTGGCTTCAGATGAAACACTCGGTTACTAGGCTGCCATCTCAATGTGGTGGATGGCATGCGCAAATGAATTGGAAAGTGAGCAACTTTATAGAAAATTGTTATAATCCTTGTGACAACCTAGGCTCCTAAAGATACATAATAAGCACATATGTGTTCTTCCCCATTTTACAGGCACTAGGTGAGTGTAAAGTTACCTTGAGGGAGTGACACTCTTAGAAAGCAAGGTACTGCAGAACCGCGTGTAGGAAACGCTGTGGGCCTCCTTAATTGCAGCGAATGGGCTTATGAAAGATTATAGTTTGGAAGTTTTGCACATGGTTGTTAGTTGGAAGCATATGTTCTCATTTGTCCAGGCAGCAAGTTGAGATAAGAGGTAGGCACTGAAAAGGGAGGGGGATTTTCCATCGTTTTGCCCTTCATATCTTTTTAGAACCTGTGCACCATTTAAATGAATTGCCTAGTTGTAATGAACTTAAAATTTAAAAAAGACAAACACTCTGCATTGCTTGTCTTTTTTTTTTTTTTTTGCGGTACGTGGGCCTCTCCCTGTTGCGGCCTCTCCCATTGCGGAGCACAGGCTCCGGACGCGCAGGCTCAGCGGCCCTGGCTCACGGCCCCAGCCGCTCCGCGGCATGTGAGATCTTCCCGGACCGGGGCACGAACCCGCGTCCCCTGCATCGGCAGGCGGACTGTCAACCACTGCGCCACCAGGGAAGCCCATGCTTGTCTTTTTTTGATATAATATGGAAACGTTTGGCATAATTAGAATTTACTTCAGTTCAAATCAACTACTTATTTTTGTGACAGATTAGCCCTAACATCTTTCTAATCCCTCCGAGGTATCAATGATTATTGGGAAAAGGATAGATTTCTAATCTAAGCTATTTGATAAAGGGATGAGAATAGCCATTCTTGTAAAGACCCTATTTGCGTGCAATTACTGCTCTGGATACTATTAATGAATAAATGTGAAGATTATTCTAGCATCAGAAATAATATACCTTCTTCCCAACTCGGAAAACTAGATAAATACAACTTTTTAAACTAAAACACAGTGAGAAAGTAATATTGTCTTTTTTTCCCCATAATTATTTTATTTATGCACTGTCCATTCATTTGTCTCAACAGTTTAAAATAATTATGTACAGTTTAAGCTGAACACAACTGAAGATATTTTAACGTTTTGGAATTCATGCATACCCTTCCTTTTGTTGAATGGGAAATGACATTTTTATCTAAATTGAACATTAAAAAAAATCATCTCGAACACCTGGAAACGCCTCTCGTATGCCAGTGCTGGGAGGATATTTGTGTCACTTATTTTCTTTCTCCAGTCACCAAAGGCTATTATGAGGCTGCCCATAATTTGTGATTAACTTGAGAGACTAGTTGATATCATGGCAGCCCTAGAATGATGTGTAAGGGCAATGTCTGCTTTAGTCTCAGCCTGTGAATGTGAAGCCCTTTCCCTCGATTCCAGGACATTTGAGGTCCTGGAGTGGAACCAGGGGAGACTTGTTTGGGGTGTCAGATGTTTGCCTTTACAAACTTTTACCTGCATAGACTGGGAGCACTCACTTAACCCTGCTCGTGTTTACCTCCAAGACTGTCTGCCCACTCCATGTGTAAATGTGCGTATGAGCTCTGGTAGACGGTCATTCCTTCCAGATAAGAAGTGGTCCACGTGGCTGAAAATTATACTGACCATTTGTAATCCAGGAATGTTTCTTTTTAGACTTGCTCTGCTCTGATTTGATGCTTCCGGTGGCTTCTTTAGATCTTTTGCTCCCAGAGTACCCAAGGATAATGGGAAGTTTAAGTCACTGCAAAATCTCGGAGCAAAGACTTAAAAGCCGAGACTGGCCATCCCAGAGCAGCACACGGTGTCTGTTTGTCAACCTCATAATGAAGTGGAAAGAGGTCAGGTGAAACAGGTCTCATCATGCCGTCCTCTTAGATCATGTAAATGATACATATTTACAGAACCAGCCCCTGTCCTTTTTACGTGGAGTTCACTTTGTGAAATTGCCTCGAGCAGGAGCGACCTGTAATTTATGGGCACGATGTGATTTTGCGGTTGGATGTGGCGGGAGTGTCACTCTTGCCTGTATCTGTCGCTGGCAGGGTACTACACGTGCGTGGAGGTCATCTTCACCCTGAGGCGGCAGGTGGGCTTCTACATGATGGGCGTCTACGCCCCAACCCTGCTCATCGTGGTTCTGTCCTGGCTTTCCTTCTGGATCAACCCCGATGCCAGCGCTGCCAGAGTGCCCCTGGGTAACGTGTTCCAGCCTCTCTCTCGGGGGTCGGGAGTGTGCTGCATCTTTATAGAAATGACTGTATAATTTTGAAATTATACCAAATTATTTTGGGACAGTGAGTTTGGGAATTGATGGCAACCTTTTTTTTTTTTTTTTCAGACTTCCTTCAGTCCTTGACATTGAACTAGATTTTCTCCGTGTTTATGCATTCTATAATTAAACTAAGTTTTCTCTTTTTGTGTCCTGGGGGTATTTTAAGCCGTTAATCCATCCTACTTTGACTCTCGTGAAATAATTATTAATAAGAGATTTTCACGGATAACGGAAGGCTAAAATCCCCAGTGGTGCCAAGCTTAAAAACAAATGACTATTTGGATAGAAATCTTTCTAAATCATATACTGTCTCATACTGTTCATCAGGGAATATGTAATAGAATTTATCTTCTTAAACATGACTTTGCATCATTTTCCTAAATGCTAGTTGTTGTGTGCTGTACCACCAAGAGGCTAGAGAGAGGAAGGGCTGGTTAGGCCACTCTCTCCAGTTTGTGATATTTAATGCTCTGTGACATAGAAACACCAATAGCCAGACTTGAAAATTATGTCTCTATAGGGCTTAAATAGTCTTGCGTTGAGGAAATAATCGAGAGCCTTTCTTTTTTTTTTTAATTAATTCATTTATTTATGGCTGCGTTGGGTCTTCGTTGCTGCGCACGGGCTTTCTCTGGTTGCGGTGAGCGGGGCTACTCTTCGTTGTGGTGCATGGGTTTCTCATTGCGGTGGCTTCTCTTGCTGCGGAGCACGGGCTCTAAGCACGCACACTTCAGTAGCTGTGGCACGCGGGCTCAGTAGTTGTGACTTGCGGGCTCAGTAGTTGTGACTTGCGGGCTCAGTAGTTGTGACTCACGGGCTCTAGAGCGCAGGCTCAGTAGTTGGGGTGTATGGGCTTAGTTGCTCCACGGCACGTGGGATCTTCCTGGACCAGGGCTCGAACCCGTGTCCCCTGCATTGGCAGGCGGATTCTTAACCACTGCGCCACCAGGGAAGTTTGAGAGCCTTTCTTATGGGTAAAGTGAATAAACTTCAAAATAAGGACATTGTAACAACAAGTTTTGATTGCTTGGAGTGTTTTAAAACTTGTTGTTAATGTGTGTGTGTGTGTTTTCTTAATATCACCTGGAACTTGTATCAGTAAGTCTATGAAATACCCGACCGCTTGGTGACTGATTAGTTGCAGCATTTAATTTTTTCTATTGTCAAAAAGGCCTTGTGTAAATCTCCCTCCTGACTTACTGGGGGAATTAAACAAAATACAGATTTTAAAGAGTAGGAAACCAGGAAAGTGCCAATGAAAATGACAGTTTTATCCAAATAAGAAATTTGGTGATTTACATCAAACTAAAACCACAAAGACCAAATCTATATCTTAATAAGCAAAAAATGTGAGAAATTTCATTCTAAAGGTTGTGTATCTGTAATGAAGCAATGACAGTTGATAGAGTAATCCTTTAGGGAAAAAGAATTAACTATGTAGTGTATTGTACTGGGAATAAAGCACCCCCAAAGCTAGATTTAAATTCTTACACTTGTCAAAAATATCACACATTTCCCTCAAATCGCTATTTTTTTGGTTTATTACAGGTATCTTATCCTCATGCAGTGATATAAATTGAAATTTCAGCCTTCCAAGGCTGCTCTGGAGACAACCCAATCCCTGACATATTCTCGAAGGACATTCTCTGTAAATCCCCGTCTCTTGCAGGACTTCTGATATAAAATCCGTGAGCTGACACTTAGCGTCCAGCAGACCTGTTGTTTGGAAACCAGTTAATGGTTAAAAGTCAAACCAGGTTTGAATTCCAGCTCTGTGCCTACCAGCTGTGACAACTTCCCATCACATCCAGCCTCTGTGAACATACTCTGTGGACATGTCAGAGTATGGATGGAAAAGTACTCCAGGGGTTTTTGGAGGCTTGAAAAAAAATGAACGTAACACCCATGCAGGAGTTCATCATGTGCCTCCTTTACAGATTGCTTTACACTTTTCAAAGCACTTTGACACATTCGGATTCATTCAACAAATATCTGTTGTGGGCTGACTATGGGCTAGGTACTATGCAAAAAGATGGGGATATGGTTAAAAAGTAAATAGCCAATAAATAGTTAATAAAATAGATGTAAAAAGAAGCAAAACTCAGCCTCAGTGAGTTTATACTCTCTTGGGAAGAAACAGACACCAGATAAGTACAACCTATAATATATAAGATGGTGATACAGGGATGGGAAGTTGAGGGCGGCAGCCTGCTTGTCAGGAATTGCCTTGATGAGAAAGTGATGTTGAACAGAGGCAAGAAGGAGGGGAAGGAATGGACCACTGTGGATAAGTTAGGATAGGATAGGATAGGATAGGATAGGTTAGGAAAGGGTACCTGGAGAGCGATCAGGGCAGCATCCCCTGAGACAGAAGCATGCCTGGAGTGTACGGGCCTAGTTGCTCCTTAGTGCTCCTGGGAACACTAAGGAGTCCAGTGAGAGAAAGGGAGATTAGTAGGTGAGATCAGAAAAATAACAAGGGCGAGGGGTGGGTTATGGAATAGTTCTTAAGGAATTCTGGTGATGTGGGCTTTTATTCAGAGTGAAGTGTGAAGCCCCTGAGGGCTTTTGAGCATGATCTGATTTAAATTGTAAGTGCTTATCTTTACTGCTTTCTTTAGAATAGACTGGCAGGGGGCAAAGGTAGAAGCAAGCAAAGCAGGTAGGAGGCCTGCAGTAAGCATGGTGTGAGCCAGGGGCGGTAGTGCAGGTGCTTGTACATATTAGATGAAGGATGTAGTAGAGAAAGATTTGCAGATGTCTTGCATGTGGGATTTAAGAAAGCAGAATCAGGGCTTCCCTGGTGGCGCAGTGGTTGGGAGTCCGCCTGCCGATGCAGGGGACGCGGGTTCGTGCCCCGGTCCGGGAGGATCCCACATGCCGCGGAGCGGCTGGGCCCGTGAGCCGTGGCCGCTGGGCCTGCGTGTCCGGAGCCTGTTGCTCCGCAACGGGAGAGGCCACGGCAGTGAGAGGCCCGCGTACCACACACACACAAAAATAAAAAAAAAAGAAAAAAGAAAGCAGAATCAAGGCTGACCTCAAGGTGTTTTTGGCTTAGAAACTGAAGAGATGAAATTGCCATGAATGGAGGTGAGCAGAGCTGTAGGTCAGGTAGGTTTGAGAAGGTGAGAGGACCAGGTTGGTTCCGGATGCACTGAGTTTGAGATGTCTGTTAGGTGGAGATAGCAGGTAGACAGGTGGATGTACAAGTCTGGGGTGTCTTGGAGAAATCAGGACTGGAGGTCAGAGTTTAAGGTTTGCCAGGATGTAGATGGTATTTAAGGCGATGAGTGGGGTGTAGGTAGAGGAATCTCAGGGCTAAAGCCTTGGGACTGAGAAGACGAGGAACAATCTATGTGATGTGGTTTCCTAGAATCCTGCCAAGTGGAGAGGTTGTGTCCAGGCGAGGGGAGTGACCGGC